CAGCCCCGAGCGAGCTTGGGAGCCGGCGGATCTGCAGCGAGGAGGTGCCCGCGCTGGAGCAGGAGCCAGACGGGAGCTGGAGCAGCGGCGCAGGTGGCTCTGGGTGAGTGAGTGGTGGGGCCGCAGAGTAGGAACTCTCGCCTCCCTCAGAATCTTCTCCCGAGCGAACTTTAGCAGTTGGAGAAGCTGGGGATTGGGGTGAGGAGGAGGGGTCCCCAGTCTGGGGGGCGCAGGCGAGGAGTCTGACCCGGGAACCTACACGGAAACACACTGACGGGCCCACCTACGCGTGCACGCAGACCCACGCGCGCACTTGAGACACATGAACACACGTGCACTCAGGAGAGGAGTGAGTTACGCCTGCAGTCCGTGGAGCAGCGCCACTGGCCCGCGCGACCCCCAGCGGGCAGGGCTCGCTGCTGTCGCGTACTTGATGGGGGTGGCCGAATAGGGCCGCCCAGTGACCGCTGACGGGGGCGGGCCGGGTGGGACACCTCCGGAGGTTCCTGCTTCCTGGCCTCCGGCAGGTGAAGACTAAGACGTAAACAGGCGCCGAGCACGTGATCGCTACGCAGGCTAGCAGGGTGTGCTGCCCCCACCCCGGCCTCAGGATGGGAACTTCCCTCCCCGGTACCGGGCGAATTTGCAAGGTATCTTGCCGGGCTGTATTCCATTCTCCGCCTCGAGGTGATCAGCCCTCTCCCAGGAATGAGAACACAACGCCCCCTGGAGTCGGGGTAGCGCAGGAGGACGAGAGACGTGGGCTGGGGTGGGGTTACCTGGGCTTCTCGCCTTCCTTCTTCCGAATATGGTGCCCCCATCCCTGAAGCTATCCGAGTGGGGGCGCTATTCTGGATGGTAGTGTACAGCAGCCCCTGACCAGTACCTCCAGCCTGGGGAGAAGCTGCGGGAGAGCGGGTTAGTCCCCTTCCTACTACCATCCCTCCTTGCTCCTCCCCCCTGTGTAGCAGAAACCCCACTCATGCCCCCTTCCCCAGAGAATGAATGAGTGTACATATCCCCTCAATCCCAGAGTGGGCCTATCTCCCTCTGGTAGAAGGGAGGACTGCCCCCCTCCCCCCAGGGAACGAAGGAGTGGGCAGTGGCCCTCGGCCTCCCTCCCTGCCCCACCCCCTACCCCTACACACACGCTGAGTCCAGCTGCTGCCTGAGCTTCTGGGCAGGCTGCCAGAAAGGGGAGGAGTCTCCTGGTGCCCCAGGAGGCTGGGATCCTGGCAAGGACAGAAGAGGGGGTCTCTACAAGGGGAGGGGCTCAGTCTGTTCTTGTGAGGCAGAGGATCTAGGGTGACCCTGAGGGTGGCTGGGCTATGTTTCCCTTTCCAGGGAAAAAGAAAGAAAAACAACCCTTTCCATAGAGCTAAAAATAGAGCTGAGAGCCGGCCAGGGCTGTGGCCTGGAAGGGGGGGATGCTCCTTCCTGGGGCAGAGGAGTTCTGGCAGGCCTTAGCCCTGGGGGGCGGGGTTAGGGGGCAGGAGGCTGTCCTTGCCCAGGGGTGCAGGCATCAGCTGACCTGACTGGGTCACAGAGACCCTTACAGGGAAGTCTGTGTGATAGATGTTTGTGAAATACGAGGTGTATGTGTAAGTTGTCTCTGTGACTAAGATTGTCAGTGTGTTAAAGATGCTTAGGAGACTATTGTGACTGCGTGCGAAGAACTGTGAGCTGTGGAAGCCTGTGCACAACCAGGCGTGTGACACCGAGCATGTCTCTGTGCGTGAGTTGGCCTGAGAGATTTTGGAAAGAACGGACGTGAAACCTTATGATGGACGAGACTGTGTGATTGTGGCTGTGTGAGACTGAATGTGGGAAAAGTCATGTGGGTGTTAAGACTGTGTTGTTTGCAAGAAGGTGAGAATATCTGTGACCTTGAGAAGACGGTGGAATGTTGCCGGCTGTAAGCCTAACTGTAGGTTAGGCCTGTAGGTTTGGAACAGCTCACCCCAGTGACTTTTGGAGGGGGGGCCCAGGGAGTACTTCTCTCCAAGCAATGACCTCTCTTAGCAGATGACTCGAAGGGAAGACTGGGGAGCATAAAGCCGCGCTCGGGGAAGGCCTGGGCTCTCTGGGGAAAGGTATAGTGCTGGGGAATCGGGTAGGGGCCTCCAAGGTTGAGGGTGACTGGGTGTGTTCTCCGAATGGGCCGCCAGGTGGCGCCACTTCCGCAAATCCAACCGTGCCTCCAACCCTTTGCGGGTGGGGCAGGCATCCACCAAACCTCGGCCCCCGACTTGTGCTGGGGCGCGAGGCCCAGAGTGAGGAGGAGGCAGCCGACCCTCGGCCTCCACCTCTGGACTCCGAAGCTGGGGAGTCGGGGAGTTTGTCTGGGAGGAGGGGGGCACGCATCGACTAGAGGAGCGGAGGGGGAAGGGCGGCCGCCGCGGCGCCGGGCTCTTTGTGCTCGAACAATGACCAGCTGCCGCTGGCCCCGGGGCCCGGGTAAGGGTAGAGGGTGACCTGCCGCCGCCGCCTAGTCCTGAGCCGACCGAGCCCCCAGACACACAGCCACTACTCCTCGGAAGGAAGGATCCCGAGTCGCGCAGCGCAGCCCTTGCGTGTACCCCGCCGGACACGCGTGACGCGCGGTGCCTGCGCGTGTCGGCGCCCCGGGGGCGGGGTCGCCCTTCGGACCTTCCCT